ATCAAAGTTTGCATTGGAGAAATTATTGATTAGCTTACAAATCTCTTTGCTGTGTAAAGCATCATTATAAAGAAGTTTGGAATTATCATGCCAAGAATAAAAGTATTTCGGGCCATGAATTGTAGTATAATTATTTTGATTAGTTTTAGCAGTTTCACAATTTGTTACAGCATTTGTTTGAAGAAGAAAAAGACAATGTGTGTCTAGCACATGTATTGCGCAAGCATGCATTGAAATAAAATTATTCATAGATTTGAAATGGATGTGTATTGAGTGGCAATGGAATATACTGGTTTCTCACACTGAAATGATCATCTCTTGCATGTGTGTCCTGATTTCAAGTTGAAATAAACATGTTTTTATCTTGTGTGCATTGAAATAAACATGTTTTGTTTGCACATTACAATACACATGTATTGCACACATGCTGTATGGAAATCCACACTTCCCATGTGTGTGTATTAAAATGAAGGGGTGGCACGCATGTAATAAAATGAACATTGTTAATGTCCCTACTGGAATTATGATAAATGTAATTTATGCCAAAAATAAAATATAGACCAAAAGCATAATAAGTAATTGAGAGTGAATAATTGGCTGGTCTAGTCTTAACAGAAATTAGATGTAATATATTACTCTTCTAAAATTGAAATATATGGTCAGAAATTAAACAGAATATGCCATTCATGAGTTTTTGTATTCATTTATCCAGGTTAATTAATGAACGAGATACAGTAGTATGGTCAAAAAGCAAGATTACAGGCTGTCAACCATCTTTGATCTGATTGTGAAACTAATTGTCATGGATATGTATCCTAGCATGTAGAATTTGAAGAGAAAAAAACAAGTCAACAATATATTTTAAAAACACAAAATGAATCATCATGGACAAGTATAATTTGTAGCAAATATACTGATGAAAAGTTGAATATCTAGAAAATAAAAATTGTAAACTGTATTCTGCATTTGTGGAGCTTATCATTATGTTAGCCTTGACTACCCCCTTTAAAAGGCATTATGAATTAAAAGAATTACCTCCATCAGAGTGTGGTACACCTTCTCGTAACAGGAAATAGCGAAGACCATCAGTGGTGAAATCTTTCACTTTCTCAAGAGGATTCACAATATTTCCTTTACTTTTAGACATCTAGTAATTATAACAAGTTATAAAATTCCCATCATCACAAACATTATATATTTCAATAGTTGTTTTTTTATTATTTACCAAATAGCATGTTATTTAAGCCATATATACGATTTTGAAAAAAGCAAACCTGATCTACACAGCAAATATCAAAGACATTGGGTACAAAGAATATCATTGATTTCATGCAGTCATAAATCAAAGAAAGTTTAGAAAGAACCCTTGTGTACTGAGGGTGAAATGATAAGAAAGGATGTATTCAAAATAAAGTAAAAATGTCCATACACCTGATATATCTCAGGTCTTTGAGATATGCAGTGTAAGAGCACAGTACTGAAATTGACAAAAGAAACAAAGCAGGTTGAAGCACTTATATGTACAAAGCGGTTCTTCAGATTGTAATCCAACCATCAGACAGATATATCAGATAACAAGTCATTGTCAATGAAATAGTCCCGTCATGTTTTTAGTGACTATGTCAAACAATGAAAAGCATAGTAATATTATGTTTAAATATTCGGATAATATTTAGCCTTTTTACTACAAATGTGCATGAAAAAAAGTTTCTGAATGCCCCAGAAACTGTTAATGACATGTTCAAATGTTGATTTTTGGGACAATTAATGTCTGTCATTTGAAGGTCAACAAAATAAAACAAAGCAGAACTTGCCATTGTATTAAATTTAACCCAAATCTGTACATTACAACATCTGTGTAAAATGAGCAGAACACTTGTAAAAAACAAACTGGCTACCAGCCATTTTGAATTGATTCACCTAAAAAAAGACGTGTACCATTAACTCACCATGACTGATGTCAATGACAAGTTTGAATGAAATCAGTCATTGCATGTCCAAGGAACAGTTGATGAAATGTTTGAAGTTTGTGATTTTATTTGTTTTTGACAAAAATGGTCAAAAACGGCTAAATTTTGATGAAAACGAAAAATAATGAAAAACCACATTTAACCGATTATATCTTGCCTTTGTACAATATTTAACCCAAATCTGTACAATCATGTCTGTAAAATGAGCAGAACACTTGTAAAAAAAACAAAATGGCCGCCATTTTGAATCGAATCACAAAAAAAATTACGTGCATCAATAACCCACCATGCTTGATGATTAAATGAAATCGGTCAAGACATGGTTGATGATATGTCCAAATGTTGATTTTTGGTATTTTTTGGGGATAAGACTGGCCGCCAGTTGGTCAAAGGTCAACCAAATTAAAAATAAATCGATATGAACATGTCCCCCATTATGACTTGTCTTTGTACCAGCTTTGAAGAAAATCTGTCCATGCATCTCTGAGAAATGATGGACGGACGCACACACGCACAGACGGACGCACGCACAGAACCCAAAACATAAGTCTCTGTTTCAGACTACGTCTGATGGGGACTAATTAATGTGTATTATTGGAAGTAATTCTGCCAACAAACACATCAACTGCCCAAAACAAATCACATAAAATGACTACTTGGGAAGACTGCTGCCATCAAATACTTACCTTCAGGCCATCAACTGTCTACAGGGAATGACATAGAAGTACTCCTTGGGAAGTCCTCTGCCATCACTTGCTCATCTTGATGCA